GTTCCCAGCCAGATCCATAAGCACTACGCTACCAGAGCTCCTTACCCCAACCCTACTGCCAGTAAAATAAGGGAAACAATGCTTAGTGGCAACAGTTACTGCTCTCAAACGGTATCTGTTTATGCCATGTGTTGGCACCTCTCTCCTTTATATGGTTTAATAGTGGTGAGTTGTAAAATCGTCTCCCAGGAGAGCGAGGTGGAGAGGCGTCATCAAGTTCCAGGTGGGCTCTATACATGGGAGGCAGCAGGCAGGAATAACTGACGGTGTAGCCCGTTCACACCGAGGGCGTAGCACCTGCCTCCCAGGGTCAGCGGATGGCTGCGCACTTGTCTGTCTTGGGTTCACTGAACCACCGAACAGACAGTCTGAAGGTGGCCCACTGGAATAGGAGGTGGGAGGGCCTGGCTGGGTCTCTCAGCTGACCCGAGGATGGACCACAAGTGACCACTAGTCATGCCTGCTGGGGGTTCTTCAGACCCAGGGACATGAGTGAGCTCAGGTTTGAGAGGTGAAGCCTTTGCTGTATGTGGAGAATCTCGGTACAGTCTAGATGAGCTTGCTCTCTAGACTTCTGTTCGTTCATCAGTACAGGGCAGAGCTTCCTGTGTTATGATGCGTGGGTGTGAGTATGTGCACACCTGTGGTCTGTGTATGTGTGTGTAGATGTCTGAGGGTACGTGTGAGCCTATGGTCTATGTGTATGCACACATGTGCATATATGTGAGTGTGTATGCCCACCTGTGGTCTGGGTATATGTGTGAACACACATATGTGAGAGTGTGTGCATACCTGTCATCTGTGCATGTGTGTGTGCATACATGTGTATGTGTGTACACATGTGTTTAAACGTTAGTGTGTGTGTGTCTGTGATCTGTATATATGTGTGTGGAGACACACATGTGTATGTGTGAGTGTGTGTATATCTATGGTCTGTGTATGTATGTGTGCCTGTGGTCTGTGTATATGTGTGTGGAGACACATACGTATATGTGTGTATGTATGTGTGTCTGTGGATATGTGTGTGGAGATATGCGTGTATACATGTGCATGTGTGTGTGTGTGGATGTGTGTGGAGATACACATGTGTATATATGTGCATGAATGTGCCTGTGAATATATGTGTGACGATACGTGTGTGTGTGTGTGTGTGTGTGCATGTTTGTGTCTGTGGATATGTGTGTGGGGACACATGTGTGTCTATATGTGTCTGTGGATATGTGTGTGGGGGAACACCTGTGTGTATATATTTGCATATATGTGTGCCAGTGGCCTGTTGATATGTGTGTGTGTTGGGGCCAAAAGGCTTACAGGC